ATGTCGTTGCACATGGCAAGATTTCTTCTTTTTTTTTTCTAAGCTGAATAATTTTCTAAATGCATATATATATATATACATATATATACACACACCACATTTTTACTCCATTCATCCAGTGATGGACATTTAGTTTTTTTCTTTATTTTAGCTATTGTAAATAGTGCTACAATGAACATAGGAATGCAGATATCTCTTCAAGATCCTGATTTGACTTTTTGGGGGTATATTCCCAGAAATATATATACCCTGGGTCATGTGATAATTTTTTTTTTAATTATTTGAGGAACCTCTGTACTATTTCCCACAGAAGCCGCACCATTTTGCATTCCCACCAACAATGTACAAGGGTTTCATGTTCTCCACAACCTTGCCAACACTTGTAACTTTTTTTTTTTTTTGATGACAGCCATTCTAACAGGTGTGAGGTGATATCTCACTGCGGTTTTGATTTGCAATTCCCTCGTAGCTAGTGAAGTCGAGCATCTTTTCATATGTCTCTAGGCCATTTGTATGTCTGGTCAGGTCCTCTGCCCATTGTTTAATTGGATTGTTTGTTTTTTTTGTTATTGAGTTGTATGAGGTCTTCGTTGTATATTTTGTATATTTAGTCTTTATCAGAGACATTGTTTGCAAATATATTTGCCCATTTGGATGGTTGTCTCTTTACCTTGTTGACGGTTTCTTTTGCTGAGCAGAAGGTTTTTAGTTTGATATAGTCCCATTTATTTATTTTTGTTTTTATTCCCCTTGCCTTTGAGGTCAAATTCATAAAATCCTTATTAAGTCCAAGGTCCATGAGTTTAGTACTTGTTTTCTTCTATGTGGTTTATTGTTTCCGGTCTTATATTCAGGTCCTTAATCCATTTTGAGCTAATTTTGGTGTGTGGTGATAGACAACAGTCTAGTTTCATTCTTTTGCAGTCAGCTTTCTGGTTTTCCCGGCACCATTTATTGAAGAGGCTTTGCTTTTTCCACTGTGTGTTTTTGGCTCCTTTGTCGAAAATTACTTTCCCATATAAATATGGGTTTATTTCTGGACTCTCGAGTCTGTTCCACTGGTCTTTGTGTCTGTTTCTGTGCCGATACCATGCCGTTTTGATTATTGTCGCTTTGTAGTATAATTTGAAGTCGGGCAGAGTGATGCCTCCAGCCTCGTTCTTTTTCCTCCAGATGGCTTTGGCGATTCGGGGTCTTTTGTGCTTCCATACAAATCTGATGATTTTTTGTTCTGTTTCTTTAAAAAAATGCCAACAGGATTTTGATGGGGATTGCATTACATCTGTAACATGCTTTCGGTAATGTGGTCATTTGAACTATGCTAATTCTTTCCATTTCTTTGTCTTCTTCAGTTTCTCTTAGCAGAGTCTTATAGTTTTCATAGGTCCTTCACATATTCCGTTAGCTTTAGTCCTAGGTATTTTTTTCTTTTTATTGTAATTGAAAGAGGAAGTGTTTTCCTCATTTCTTTTCTGATAGTTTATTATCAGAGCATAGGAACACTATTGATTTTTGAACATTGATTTTGTATCCAGAAACTTGACTGTATTTGCTTATCGTTTCTAGTAGTGTTTTTGTGGAGTCTTTAGGATTTTCTGTACAGAGAATCATGTCATCTACAAATAGTGACAGTTTGACTTCTTCACTGCCTATTTGGATGCCTTTTATTTCTTTCTCTTGCCTGATTGCCGTAGCCAGGACCTCCAAAATTATATTGAATGAAGTGGTGATAGCGGACAGTCTTGTCTCATTCCTGATCTTAGAGAGAAGGTTTTTAGTTTTTCACCATGAAGTATTATGTGGTATCTGTCATAACTTCTCTGTCATTCTTGATTTTGTTTATTTGTGTCCTCTTTTTTTCTGTAGTGAGTGTAGCCAGGGGCTTGTCCATTTTATTAACCTTCTCAAAGAGCCAGCTTTTTGTTGCATTTATTTTTGCTCTTGTCTCTTTGCTCTCAATTTCATTTAATTCTGCTCTAATTTTGATGATTTCCTTCCTCCTGCGGATTTGGGGCTTCATCTGTTCTTTTTCTAGTTTTTCAGATGTAGTGTTAGGTTGTCTCTTTGGGCTCAGTCTTGTTTTTTGAGATGGATCTGTAACGATCTGAACTTCCCTCTTATTAAACACTTCTGCTGTGTCCCAAAAGTTTTGATACGTCATACATTAATTGTCATTCGTTTCTATGTATCTCTCGATTCCTTCTCCACCCCAGTTATTCTTCACAGTGTGCTGCTTAATCTCCATGTCTTTGTGGTTCTTCCCGCTTTCTTTTTACAGTCGATCTCCATCTTCAAAGCATTACGATCAGAGAATACGATTTCGAACCTCTTATGTTTGTCGAGGCTGTCTCTGTGTCCCAGTATGTGCTCAGTCCTTGAAATGTTCCATGTGCACTAGGGAAGAATGTCTAAGCAGCTATTTGGGATGGAAGGCTCTGTAAATGTCAATTATGTCCAGTTGGTCTGATGGGTCATTTAAGGATGTTATTTCTTTATTGATCTTCTGTTTGGAGGATCTGTCCACATCCGACAGTGGGGTATTTAGGTCCCCTACTACGATCGTGGATTGGTCTGTTTCTCCCTTTCGTGCTGTTAGTAATTGCTTTACGTATTTCGGGGCTCCCCGATTGGGAGCAGAGATATTAATAAGTGTTATGTCTTCCTCGTATTTGATTCCCTTTATCATTATGAAGCGTCCCTCAGTATCTCTCTTTACCTTTTTATTGTGAAGTCTGTTCTGTCCGATATCAGTACCGCTACTCCCGCTTTTTTCTCTGAATGCCATTTGCTTGAAATATCATTTTCCACCCTTTCGCTTCGAGTTCATATTTGTCTTTGGAGCTGAGGTGTGTCTCCTGGAGGCGGCATGTGGTTGGGTTTCATTTTTCGATCCAGCTCGCTACTCTGTGCCTTTCTATTGGTGAGTTCAGTCCATTTACAGTCAGGGCGATTATCGTAATATGCGGTCTTCTTCTAGCCATGTTATCTTGTCTTCTGGTAGCTCGGTGTCTCCCTTGCTTCGTTGTCCTTGCGATTCTGTCTGTCATTTCATTTTTGGGTTCCGTGGGTTTTCCCTCTGCTCCTTCTCGTTTTAGCTCTGCGCTTCTGTTCTGGATCTTCGGCACGTGGTCACCATTGAGCATATGGAAGGGGAGTCGTATATCTACACAGCAGTCCATCTTCCGCGTGTGCCTTATGTCCATTCCCCTTTGCGAATCTGGACCCTTGTTCCCTCCCCTTTCCTGTCATCGTTGTCTCAGAGTGTCCCTATGTATGCTGCACGTTTATCTCTAACTCACAATAGCAGTTTTCTTCTTTATATTTACGCATGTAATGCCCTGTTTTAATAAGGATTGGACTCCTGTGCTTTTGTCTGACTGCTAGTCACCTTATTCACAGTTCTGTGTCTTTTTCGTCATTTTGTTTCAGGCGGGCTGGGCCCTTTCAGTATTTCCTATGACGCAGGCCTGGTAGTGGGGAATTCCCCCAGTTTTTGTATGTCTGGAAAGGTCTTTATTTTTCCTTCACATCTAAAGGCGAACTTTGCTGGATGTATTCTTTTTGGCCGGTAATATCTTTCATTTAAGTTTGGTTCCACTCATTTCTTGCTTGCAAAGTTTGTGCTAAGAAGTCCGAAGATAGTCTAATGGGTTTTCCTTTATAGGTGACTGTCTTCTTTTCCATGGCCGTCTTGAGAATTTTTTTTATCATTAATTTTTGACAATTTTTAATGTTATGTGTCTTGGAGAAGGCCTTTCTGGGTTGAGATAATTGGGTGTTCTGCTAGCTTCTTGGATTCAAAGCTCCGGGTCATTCCTTGGATTTGGGAAATTCCTGTCAGCTGTTTATCTGAATATGCTCTGTTCCCTTTTCTGTCGAGAATACGCAGTGTTCTGATGGAGTCATTAGTTCTTGTATAGCTTTCATTTTCTTCTTATTCTCCGGTCTCCCTCTTCTTCCTCCTGAGTCGTTTCTAGATTTCTGTCTTCGATATCACCGATTCTCTCCTCCATTTGGTCAGCTCTGTTTCCTAAGCTTGGTATTTCACTGTTCATCTCTTCTGCTGTGTTCTTCATCCCCAGAAGTTCTACTTGGTTCTTTTTCAGGGTTTTAATCTCCTTGCAAAAAAACCCATTTTGCTAATCTATTGTGATTGTAAGTTCTTGGAGTTGTTGATCTGGTTTATTTTGTATCTCATCGATTTTTTTCTAAAGGAATGCAATCCTGAATTCTGTCATTTAAATGGTACATTTTTGTGTCTTTAAGCTTATTTTCTGAAGATCGTTCTTTTTCTTTCTGAGCTGCCTTGTCACCCTGGTCGTTCATGCTGTGTGGTGGACTGTTTCTCTGCCTGGGCATTAATGGGAGCGCACTCTGCTTTTATTCAGAAAGAGTTATACAGAGGTCTCTCTTTAGCCTGTTTCTAAGGTGTTTTTCTTTTGAGTTCCAGCAGGTGGCATCCAAGCCTCTTGGATCTCTGCTTTGAACCGAATGCCCTTTTTCTCTGTCTGATATACTGAATATTCAGATCACCATTGGCTACCCTCCGTCGCAGGCCCTGTCTGTGACACCTGGACAGTTTTTGTTTTGGTACTAGTTGTGCACATTCCCCTGGGGCTCCGAGGTGCCGGGTGCGGGAGGCTATGGGGTGGAGGGAGGCTGTGCTCTGGGACGGTGGACGGCGTTGCCCCCAGGCTCAAGGTCTCAGCATCCGGCTTCACTGCCCCAGCTGCTGAGCCCCAGCTGTTGCGCTCTGCACTCACTGCTCTGCTTTCTGTCGTGCTCGCTGATTCCTCGGGCTCCGCTGTTTGGGGACCGGCTTCAAATTCTCCCCTCCGCCCACGCGTGCAGTTCAGTTCGTACTCGGGGTCAAGAGGGGTGGGGCGACACGGGGGCACCTTGCTTTTTTTTTTATATATATCTTTTTGCCTTCTACTTCCCCGCTTCCGCACCCCCCCCTCCGCCCCCCACATACCTGGTGTTGGACGTCGCCGCGCTCTCTCTCGCGTTGCAGGCTGGGCTTTCCAATGGTGGTCGTCTCCTGCACGGTTGGCATGTGTTACCTCCTGGTCGTTCACGTCGTGATGGGGTGGAGCTAAGACGTGTGTCGCGGAACAGCTGACGGGACCTGAGCAGCACCAGCCCTGGATCTGACGCCCCCAGGGGCCCTCAGACGCAGAGGTGCGTCCCCTGGGGCCGCTTGGCCACCGAGCTCCCCCCTCCCCGCCCCTTTTCAGTTAATGCTGGCCAGTCACGTCCCATAGACACGTTACACAGGAACCTGCAAGGAAGTCGTACCCTGAGCGCGTACCCCAAATAGTGTGTAAGGAAACATTTTATTAAAAACGAAGTGTCCCGAGGAGGAGACTCGGAATGTTACCCTTCATTCTCCATCTGCCCTCATCTGCGCGGAGCCAGGTGGACACGGGGACGCCACGCGGCTCCCCCCGGAGGCAGGTGGACGCGGGCGCGGCCATGCTCCTCGGCCAGCAGGGGACCTGGAATAACAAACGGGTTTAACCCAGGACGCTGCGTTCCTTTCCCGATGCCAGCCCTCCTCCCGCCCTGCGGCCAGAGAGGCTTCACAGCTCTGCTCGCTCTTGCGTAGTCGACGTTCGCTCAGCCGGGGTCTTGGGCCCTTGTCACTGCCCGCCGCTCTGCGTCACCTGCGCGGCTGCCTCTGTGGGCGGTGCCTGCGGGAGTCTGCCCTGTCAGGTCCCCAAACGCCAGCCGCTGTTCATCTTCAAGTGCATGGGAGCTAAGTGCGCCAGGCGGCTGTGAGTTCAGGCAGGGAAAATGGGTCACGTCCCAGCAGAAACACCAAGGGAAGGGGCCGCAGAAGAAGAGCCTGAGAAAGGAGGAAGGCGGCCGAGCCCCCAGGGAGGGGGACCCCGGTGCAGGGGACACCCCGGTCACAGCGGAAGGAGCTAAGTGGGGAGGACCCGGCCGGCCCAGGGAGGAAAAGCCCCCGCGTGAGTGGGCCTGGGGGAGGGCGAGTCCCCCCAGCCACCGAGAGCCCTCATCCACGCCGCGTCAGACGGTCGGCTGGCAAGGTCAGTCACTGTGACGGGGACGGCACCCCCGGTCCGGGAGCTGTCTTGTTCCGGGGGAGCGGGAGCTGCGGGCGGGGTGACTTGCCGTGTGCGGACTGCTCTGCAGGACGGGGCGTCTGGTCGGTCTGACCGGAGGAGGCTTTGCTGGTGCCGAGACCGTCCTCCCGGCCGGTCGGAGCCAGTTCAGACACCGGGAAAAGCGAGGGTGGGCGAGGGAGCGGTGGGACAGCTGTGACACCCACGGCCGGTCACCCCGTCCCCAGAGAGCGCCGCTGGGGTCCGTGCACAGACCCCGATGGAGGAGGAGCCGCCGGCACAGCGAGCAGGGCCTGCAGCCCCCAGACCCGTTGCAGCCCCCAGACCCAGACCCGAGGCATCGCATGGGCGGGGGCACCGAGCTGACCCATCGCCCTGCATCTGCGGGGGGCGGAGTCAGAGAACTGGGGCGGAGCCAAAGAGCTGGAGGCGGAGCCAGAGAGCTGGAGGCGGAGTCAGGACTGGGGGCAGAATCACAGCTGGGGGTGGAGTCAGAGAACTGGGGGTGGAGTCAGAACTGGGGCAGAGTCAGAGCTGGATGCCCTGCGTCTGCGGGGGCGGAGTCAAAGAACTGGGGCGGAGCCAAAGAACTGGGGGCGGAGCCAGAGAGCTGGAGGCGGAGTCAGAGAGCTGGGGGTGGAGCCAGAGAACTGGGGGCGGAGTCAGAGAAAGAGGTGGAGTCAGAACGGGGCGGAGTCAGAGGATGGTGCGGAGTTAGAGAACTGGGGGTGGAGTCAGGACTGGGGAGGAGTCAGACCTGGGGGCAGAGTCAGAAAAGGGTAGAGTCAGAGCTGGGACGGAGTCAGAGCTGGGGGCGGAGTCAGAAAAGGGTGGTGTCAGCTTGGGGCGGAGTCAGCTGGGGTCAGAGTCAGAGAGCTGGGGGTGGAGTCAGAGCTGGGGGTGGAGCTAGAGGGCTGGGGTGGAGTCAGAGCTGGGGGCGGAGTCAGAGAACATGGCGGAGTTAGAGAGCTGGGGTGGAGTCAGGACTGGGGCGGAGTCAGAGCTGGAGGCAGAGTCAGAAAAAGGTAGAGTCAGAGCTTGGGGGCGGAGTCAGAGCTGAGGACAAAGTCAGAGAGCTGGTGGTGGAGTCAGGACTGGGGGCGGAATCAGAGCTGGGGCGGAGCCAGAGAATTGGGGGCGGAGTCAGAGCTGACGACAAAGTCAGAGAGCTGGGGGTGGAGTCAGGACTGGGGGCGGAATCAGAGCTGGGGCGGAGCCAGAGAATTGGGGGCGGAGTCAGAGCTGGGGGCTGTCAGAGAAATGGGGGTGGAGTCAGAACTGGGGTGGAGTCAGAACTGGGGCGGAGTCAGAACCGGGGCGGTGGGGGGGGGGGTTGGGCAGAGGGAGAAAAGCTGGGATCTTTTAACACCTGACAGGATGCAATGAGAACACAGCATCGTTTCTGTGATGGTCCTGTCAGATACATAACCTGAATCTAACCATGAACTGCCCCAGCAGGCGAGGCCAGGAACCTTCGCGTCCAGCCTCGCCCGGAGCAGGCTCAGCGCCCAACCCCGGCACCACCGCTCCCCTGCCGGGTCCGAACGGGAAGCCGGCGCCCGGGCAGAGCTGTGACAAGCGGTAGCTTTCTGCACTGTTCCTGTCCCCAGCGCTGGCCCACGCCCTGTCCTCGCTCAGCCGCAGCAGGCCCGGCCCCGCCAGGCTGTGGTTGTCTCCAGCTCCCGCCCGGGCGTCCCGCAGCCTGCGCAGCTGCCCACACCTGTTGTGACTCAGTGCATCGAAGGGCCCTGCTCGCTCCCCGTGTCTGTCAGCACCCGGAGAGCCAGGGCGTCCAGGTGTCCCCACGTCAGCCCCGCGAGAGCCAGCCGGAGGCCGGCAGCTGCTTGCCGCGACCTGCTGCTCAGTCTAGTTCAGAGTGTCGCTCCCCTGGCAGGTCTAATTCCTGGGTTTGCGTCCTTCCCGTTGTAGACAGGTGACTAGGGACCGTCCCTCAGATGTCACTTCTCCCTTTGGCTCCACCACTACGATCCCTCCTGAGTCACTTAGATAAACGCCTTACAGATGCGGTGGTATTGTGACTACAGGGCCCTGTGACAGGGAGCCCCCGGCAACACAGTGGGCAGCAGCCACATCTGGGAGAGGAGGAATCAGGCAAAATGGGCTTCATGATGGCGGGGAGGATGGCTCGGACACAAATAGCTTTTGCAAGTTTTCATCTTTCAAAAGGCTTTATTTTGGGAAAATTATTCTCCACTCCCCCACCCCGAGCCTTGCTTTTTTATTTTTATTTTTATTTTTTTTTGCTTGTTTGGTTTGATCAATTGTTCCTCCTCCTGGGGAAAACCTGCAGGAGGTAAGTAAACCTTTTAAGATTTGACTTTCTGGCGCCAGGCATCCTGGGATTGCTGGCATCGTGCTGTGAAAGGCCAGGTGCGTGGGCTGGCTGCGACACCCCCCTCCACCGGCCCCCCTGGCTCAGGGCAGGGTGCGGCTTGCCATGGGGCAGGGGCTCCCACAGCTTCCCCTGGATTCCAGCTGTGTGACCGGTCACTGGCCCTGGGCTGTCTGCTCTTGATTTGCAAATCAAGCAATCAAGCCGGAGAACATTCTATGCAGGGCTTCTTAGCTGAGGCAGCCGTTACCCGCTTCTGTGAAGCTCAACACAGCTGGCCTCAGCGAGCCCTTCTAGCTCATTCTTTGGAGGTCCTTTGAAAGAGACATTCTTTTTCCTAACAAAAGTGTGTTTAAATTAATTCAAAAGGGAGTTGCTACCTTACAAACAGAAGGGTTTCAGAAAGGCACCGCCCTTGGCTGGCCTCCTGTAGCTGCTAAGTGTGTGTGTTGGGGGGGAGGGGGCTTGAAGTCACATTTCCAGCGTTTAAATCCTTTTCTCTGCCTTTCGCTGGGTCTGTGATGTCGGGCAAGTTATTTTCACCTCAGCCTCAGCTTTCTCATGAACATGGTGACACACAGGAGCTGGGGGTCTGTGACGCCACACGCCAAGCTCTCAGCGCACAGTCGGTCCTGCAGAAATGCCAGCTGTGGCCACCTCCCCCCACGGGGCTGGACGGTCCAGTGAGAGGAAGGGGTGAAGAGACACAAGATGTCCACTGTGCCCAAGCGGAGAGCGGGGCCGTCCGAGGGGTCATTGCTGGAGACGCTGCCGTGGACCCCACCAACATGCGGGAGCCCCACGGGAGGCCGGCCAGGCCCCAGGCGGGTTAGGAGCAGACAGGGGGCCCACACTCCCCCGCTGGGGCCCCCCCGGGGAGGCTGGGCATCCAGCTGAGTTGCGGCCGGTGAGCTAGTGGACCCAGAGCCGTCTGGTTTTGGTAAAATGGTCAAACTGACTGAAGCCGAGGACAGCACCTTTGTGCCCGCCAATGGGCGGAGCCCTGGGCCATGGACGGTCTGTGCTGGGAGCCCTGCCTCGGCTTCGGGGTGTGCTGCAGCGGCAGACACCCGCCCAGAGTGTCACCCACGCCCGAGCTGCAGGGAGGCCCCCGGGCAGGCACCTGAGTCTCTGCCACTGGGTCTCCTGCCCTCAGGGGCCAGGGGCCTGCTTGGGCTTTGGCAGGAGGACACAGGCCCTGTGACCTTCCTGCCCGGGAAGACGCCTACCCCCTGCCCCATTCGCAGAATCTGCCAGAATCGCCTGCCGGGGTCGTGACCCTCTGGGAGGGAGACCCTCTGGGAGGGGCAGCTGGTGTCCCGCCCTGGCTGGTGGCCAGGCCGTGCAGCCCCCCGACATTCTACCCCGCCCGGCCTCCTGATCAGCCACCCCCACACCAGAAAGACGTCTGCTCCTGGCTCACGTGTTTCTGACAAGTGTGTTTATTCGTATTAGAAGTACAAACATAGGAATCCAAGTACAAATACAGAGGGTGGCCCGGAGGGCAAAGCAGGGCACGGAGTCACCCGTGTCACCAAGGCACGTGGGGCACGAGTGAGCCTGCGTCTCACTAGGAAGCCACGCGCTACACGGGGCGGACGGGGCCCTTGGAGCCGCCTGGGATGAGCCGGGGCCTCCAGTCCCCACGGTTCCACAGGGGCGCAGGGGGCACGTGGTGACCACGGGGACCTGGTCGTGGCCCACTCGCCTGGGGAGGGGCGGGCGCGGGCTCTCTGGCAGGGCACGCCCCCTCTCTGCACCGCATGCTCAGCTGCTGCCAAGATGCTGTCACATCCCAGAATTTCCCACCCCCCACCTGGGCGCCGGCTTCATGGGTAGGACGGGTGACGCCTCCCGGTGCCCACGGCTTCCCTTTAAGCACACGCTTCGAAAAGAGAGGACAGTCCACACACAAGGAGATCCCACGTCCCCCGGTCCACACCACGCCTCTACCACGTCGCGTGTGGAAGTGTGTCCTAAACCGGTGAGCGGTGCCGTGTGTCCCCTGCACTGGAGAGCGACCTCGAGCCGATCAGGTAAAACTTCCATGACGTGCACAGCTTGGATGTGCACCCAAGTGGACGTGGAGGTCGAGTGGGCCTGTCCGGACCCCACGCGACTCCTGATCAGGTATGTCAGCTCGACTGCTTTAAAGGAAGGTCGTGGTCCCACAGTCGTCGGAATGTCGAGGCTGCCAGTCCCTCCCTCTCCCCGACTGCGTCCCCTCGACTGCAGGCTCGGGGAGCCCGTGGGCTTTCTGCTGCACTTGGGGTGCTGGGCAGGGTGAGACACGCTAGTGAGTTGTTCCAGCTTCACCGTTCACACACACACACACACGAATGCACACATCGCCGTGTGTAAACACGGGGTGGCCCCTGGCCCCTCACACGACAAGCAGGCCCGGCCCTGAGCACCGCCACTCCCCTGGAACCTTCCGGAGAGGACGCCCTCGTGAGGAGTGAGTCTTTTGCTCAGTCCGGCAGCTGCTTGTGGTTATGCAGACGTGTTTACTGGCACAGACCGAGTCATTCTGAAGGTCAAGAATGATCGAAAGTGTCTTTTAAAGTGTTTTAATACAGGTGCTCTAAACAGAGATAATATAATAGTAAATACTATAAATTTCATCAATATATTATTCTTGTGTCTGTTTCAATCCAGAAGTAAAAATTCCAAGATAAATAATGGAGAATCAAAGCTTAAACTCAAATTATAAAATCACAAGCATACTGATTGTCCTTTAGGGCTAATGAAATCTA